ATTAATAACATAACAATAGTTACTCTGTATTTTAAACTAATTAGATAGCCATGTTGTTCTATACTTAATGTATTCATAATACTTCTTTCTTAGGTATATTGTATACCTGAATATCGTGCTACATGTCATGTCATTACTCTCGCAAGTTATCGTACATACTAAATCTATTTAATATGTAGAAAGCAATTCATCCAAAAGTTCAATAAAACAAGTGAGAAACTGCGTTTAATGGTATGCGTGTTATTAACGTAAATTCACTTACCACAACTTCTAGTCAGAATTACCTTACAGTCGAATTTGTAGGCGGGATTGGTACCGCTTCTGAACTTTTAAAATCACTAGTATCCTGACGACTTAGGCGTAATGCCGATTAGTCAGGGAGAGAAACACCTCAATGCCTACAATATTCACAATTATCTATCTCTTATTTGTTTTTATAATAATATCAACACTTTCGCTCCAAAACTCCCGCTGCCTCCGTTCAATCGTCCGTCATCCACTTGTCAATGTCACATAGATTACTTTGGCTCTGGCCTCTGACGTTCCGTTTCAGGTTACATGATTATTGACTTTACCATTTTTAATTAATGGTGCGTCACACGATAGTTAACACAATCATACTCATGAATACAAATGTTTGTGCCGTGCGAGGAATCGAACCCGCGACCATCGGTCGTAAAGCGGTGTACTAGACCGCTGGACAATGGACAATATCCACACTTAATTTGGGACTAGATGACGCTAAGTGCCATGGCCGTGGTCATTTGTTTAACGACATATCAGACAGTATCTTCTGACCCCAAACTAACTGGCACATATCAATAGAAAGACGTTAATAGATTTTTTTGTAAAATACAGAACACTTATAGCAGGACTGATAAAAAAATACGCATACAAGTGTAATCACGTGATCATTAATTGTGGTCAATGACTGTTTGTGGTCGATTAAAATTTCTATAATTGAATTGCTCAAAGCCAGAAACAATATGTTTAGATATATTACAATGCTATTTAGATATATAAGCAAATTATACAACGATAGGACCGTGCCTGTAATAAGTCTCTAACAGCGTCATAAGATACACGATAGGACCGTGCCTGTAATAAGTCTCTAACAGCGTCATAAGATACACGATAGGACCGTGCCTGTAATAAGTCTCTAACAGCGTCATAAGATACACGATAGGACCGTGCCTGTAATAAGTCTCTAACAGCGTCATAAGATACACGATAGGACCGTGCCTGTAATAAGTCTCTAACAGCGTCATAAGATACACGATAGGACCGTGCCTGTAATAAGTCTCTAACAGCGTCATAAGATACACGATAGGACCGTGCCTGTAATAAGCCTCTAACAGTGTCATAAGATACACGATAGGACCGTGCCTGTAATAAGTCTCTAACAGCGTCATAAGATACACGATAGGACCGTGCCTGTAATAAGTCTCTAACAGCGTCATAAGATACACGATAGGACCGTGCCTGTAATAAGTCTCTAACAGCGTCATAAGATACACGATAGGACCGTGCCTGTAATAAGTCTCTAACAGCGTCATAAGATACACGATAGGACCGTGCCTGTAATAAGTCTCTAACAGCGTCATAAGATACACGATAGGACCGTGCCTGTAATAAGCCTCTAACAGCGTCATAAGATACAGGATAGACCGTGCCTGTAATAAATCTCTAACAGCGTCACAAGATACACGATAGGACCGTGCCTGTAATAAGTCTCTACCAGCGTTATAAGATACACGCTAGGACCGTGCCTGTAATAAGTCTCTAACAGCGTCATAAGATACACGATAGGAGCGTGCCTGTAATAAGTCTCTAACAGCGTCATAAGATACACGATAGGACCGTGCCTGTAATAAGTCTCTAACAGCGTCATAAGATACACGATAGGACCGTGCCTGTAATAAGTCTCTAACAGCGTCATAAGATACACGATAGGACCGTGCCTGTAATAAGTCTCTAACAGCGTCATAAGATACACGATAGGACCGTGCCTGTAATAAGTCTCTAACAGCGTCATAAGATACACGATAGGACCGTGCCTGTAATAAGTCTCTAACAGCGTCATAAGATACACGCTAGGACCGTGCCTGTAATAAGCCTCTAACAGCGTCATAAGATACACGATAGGACCGTGCCTGTAATAAGTCTCTAACAGCGTCATAAGATACACGATAGGACCGTGCCTGTAATAAGACTCTAACAGCGTCATAAGATACACGATAGGACCGTGCCTGTAATAAGTCTCTAACAGCGTCATAAGATACACGATAGGACCGTGCCTGTAATAAGTCTCTAACAGCGTCATAAGATACACGATAGGACCGTGCCTGTAATAAGTCTCTAACAGCGTCATAAGATACACGATCGGACCGTGCCTGTAATAAGCCTCTAACAGTGTCATAAGATACACGATAGGACCGTGCCTGTAATAAGTCTCTAACAGCGTCATAAGATACACGCTAGGACCGTGCCTGTAATAAGTCTCTACCAGCGTTATAAGATACACGCTAGGACCGTGCCTGTAATAAGTCTCTAACAGCGTCATAAGATACACGCTAGGACCGTGCCTGTAATAAGTCTCTACCAGCGTTATAAGATACACGCTAGGACCGTGCCTGTAATAAGTCTCTAACAGCGTCATAAGATACACGCTAGGACCGTGCCTGTAATAAGTCTCAGCGTCATAAGATACCAGCGTTATAAGATACACGCTAGGACCGTGCCTGTAATCAGTCTCTAACAGCGTCATAAGATACACGATAGGACCGTGCCTGTAATAAGTCTCTAACAGCGTCATAAGATACACGCTAGGACCGTGCCTGTAATAAGTCTCTAACAGCGTCATAAGATACACGATAGGACCGTGCCTGTAATAAGTCTCTAACAGCGTCATAAGATACACGCTAGGACCGTGCCTGTAATAAGTCTCTAACAGCGTCATAAGATACACGCTAGGACCGTGCCTGTAATAAGTCTCTACCAGCGTTATAAGATACACGCTAGGACCGTGCCTGTAATAAGTCTCTAACAGCGTCATAAGATACACGATAGGACCGTGCCTGTAATAAGTCTCTAACAGCGTCATAAGATACACGATAGGACCGTGCCTGTAATAAGCCTCTAACAGCGTCATAAGATACACGATAGGACCGTGCCTATAATAAGTCTCTAACAGCGTCACAAGATACACGATAGGACCGTGCCTGTAATAAGTCTCTACCAGCGTTATAAGATACACGCTAGGACCGTGCCTGTAATAAGTCTCTAACAGCGTCATAAGATACACGATAGGAGCGTGCCTGTAATAAGTCTCTAACAGCGTCATAAGATACACGATAGGACCGTGCCTGTAATAAGCCTCTAACAGTGTCATAAGATACACGATAGGACCGTGCCTGTAATAAGTCTCTAACAGCGTCATAAGATACACGCTAGGACCGTGCCTGTAATAAGTCTCTAACAGCGTCATAAGATACACGCTAGGACCGTGCCTGTAATAAGCCTCTAACAGCGTCATAAGATACACGATAGGACCGTGCCTGTAATAAGTCTCTAACAGCGTCACAAGATACACGATAGGACCGTGCCTGTAATAAGTCTCTAACAGCGTCATAAGATACACAATAGGACCGTGCCTGTAATAAGCCTCTAACAGCGTCATAAGATACACGATAGGAGCGTGCCTGTAATAAGTCTCTAACAGCGTCATAAGATACACGATAGGACCGTGCCTGTAATAAGTCTCTAACAGCGTCACAAGATACACGATAGGACCGTGCCTGTAATAAGTCTCTAACAGCGTCATAAGATACACGCTAGGACCGTGCCTGTAATAAGTCTCTACCAGCGTGATAAGATACACGCTAGGACCGTGCCTGTAATAAGTCTCTAACAGCGTCATAAGATACACGATAGGACCGTGCCTGTAATAAGTCTCTAACAGCGTCATAAGATACACGATAGGACCGTGCCTGTAATAAGTCTCTAACAGCGTCATAAGATACACGATAGGACCGTGCCTGTAATAAGACTCTAACAGCGAGTCATAAGATACACGCGTCATAAGATACACGATAGGACCGTGCCTGTAATAAGTCTCTAACAGCGTCATAAGATACACGATAGGACCGTGCCTGTAATAAGTCTCTACCAGCGTTATAAGATACACGCTAGGACCGTGCCTGTAATAAGTCTCTAACAGCGTCATAAGATACACGATAGGACCGTGCCTGTAATAAGTCTCTAACAGCGTCATAAGATACACAATAGGACCGTGCCTGTAATAAGCCTCTAACAGTGTCATAAGATACACGATAGGACCGTGCCTGTAATAAGTCTCTAACAGCGTCATAAGATACACGATAGGACCGTGCCTGTAATAAGCCTCTAACAGCGTCATAAGATACAGGATAGACCGTGCCTGTAATAAATCTCTAACAGCGTCACAAGATACACGATAGGACCGTGCCTGTAATAAGTCTCATAAGATACACGATAGGACCGTGCCTGTAATAAGTCTCTAACAGCGTCACAAGATACACGATAGGACCGTGCCTGTAATAAGTCTCTAACAGCGTCATAAGATACACGCTAGGACCGTGCCTGTAATAAGTCTCTAACAGCGTCACAAGATACACGATAGGACCGTGCCTGTAATAAGTCTACCAGCGTTATAAGATACACGCTAGGACCGTGCCTGTAATAAGTCTCTAACAGCGTCATAAGATACACGCTAGGACCGTGCCTGTAATAAGTCTCTACCAGCGTCGTCATACGATACACGATAGGAGCGTGCCTGTAATAAGTCTCTAACAGCGTCATAAGATACACGCTAGGACCGTGCCTGTAATAAGTCTCTACCAGCGTTATAAGATACACGCTAGGACCGTGCCTGTAATAAGTCTCTAACAGCGTCATAAGATACACAATAGGACCGTGCCTGTAATAAGCCTCTAACAGCGTCATAAGATACAATATTTCACCTGCGATGTGAGCGGTCTATTTCGCTGTCCCCCACGAACAGCTTGACGTAGTAGTGGACCCCGCAGGGCTCGCCCTCGTCCTCGAGGCCGGGCTGCAGCGTGACGGAGCCGGGCGCGCCCGCCGGCACGCTCAGCCGGAACGGGTACGCCATAGAACCCAACTTCTTTATCAGCCGCTCCTGAACACAAGTCACATGACAGCAGGGAACGAAAGCTAAGTGCCAATTATCTTGCTTATTTATTTACTTTGAATAGGTTCAATTGTTGTTACAAATTAATTTACAGTTCCATATATGCGAAGTTCATAATTATTTCAATTGTTAAATATCCAAAATTAAGTAATAATATATATGTCCAAAATTAAGATCAGAGAAAAGGAAAGTACCAAACATTGGCGTCGGTGATCTAGCGGTTTAGCACATAGTCTAACTTCCGATGATCGCAGGTACGATTCCATGTACTTTACAATTTTTTTTATGTGTGGGATTGTTTGTATCTGTCGTTGTTTTCTATGTATATTAGGGGCCATTCATTAATCACGTGAGGCTTGAAAGGGAGGGGTTTCACGAAATATCACAAGGGGTGAGGGGGGTCTAGTAAGACATCACATGTATTTATTCTATGCCAATCAAAAACAATCTGCAACCTTTCAGTCTAGGCATTTTTATCGTGGTCCTTAATTTCAGAATTATACTTATATCTGTATTTACGGATAATATTTTAAAAATTTTGAGATTCTTTGTAGGTACTAAAAATACACGTGATGTTTAGTGGGGAAGGGATAGTTTTGAACTCACCACGTGTTACCAAGGGGGAGGGGGGTAAAAAATGCTTAAAAAAATATCACGTGATTAACATAAAATTATAAAATTCAAATTTGGAACGTCAGGCATGGAACATCGATATATTTTGTTTAACTTTATATACATTTCTTCACTTGTTCTCGAACTTTACATGTGTCCTTTGTTATATTGTTTGTGCTTCTTCTTTACTGTACGTTGCAAATAAAGTATATTCTATCTATCTATCTAACTTTCCGTGGCGTCACTATAAAATTAAGTGTAGAATACATTCAAACCATTTTTTTTTTCAATAATACAACAATTTAAACATTGCAACATTCGTCCAGTTGTTTTTTCCTGTCGTACCTGGCACTGTGTGAATTGTCCAGGTTATTATTATTATAATTAAGTAATATTTTTACTTTTCGGAGACATTACCTTGTCTTCAGGATCAACCATCGAACATCGATTGGCAACCTTGATGTCAGTTTACTATATATAAGTATCTAAAGAGCCGCAGGCAGCACTACAGCAGGTCATTAACACTAAATACACTCCTAGTTGTATCAAATATTTGAATCAGACTCCTTTAATTCTAGATTGAAACCTATTTCGGGAACTTTCACTCGCGATAACTAATATTATTAAATTTACTTATATTATATTTATTTTCACAAATTTATTTTTATTAAAAAAAAGGTATCTTTTATGCGAACGAAGCTAAGGGTAACAGATAGTTTAAGATAGAAGGTAAGATAGCCGCAAGAGCTTCTACAGACCTGTGTCCGTGAGGGCTCATAAGATCTCTTCTCAGGCGGAGGGTATATCTGCTCGGAGGCGAGGAACAGCTCCTTGTAGAAATTAAGGCCCATGACCTCGTCTTCTTCGCGGCCATATCGGAAAGTGCAGACCACCTGACCGAAGACCTTCCGGCCACGCACATACTCCTCGTCCAGCAACACCACGCCATCTTGGATGAGAGGAATAGATATATTACTATATACTAACATTATAAATGAGAAAGTTCGTCTGTATGGACGGATAGATGGATGTTTGTTACTCTTTCAGACAAAAACTACTAAATAGATTTTATTGCGACCAACGTATGTAAACTGAAGCCGTCAATAACAATATAATAATTTTATATTTATATTTAATCTATTAATACATATATAAAAAGGTGATATAATCCCGATAATATGTATATCTATACATATAAATGAAATTGGAGTGTCTGTTTGTAAAATTGAAATAACCGCTTTTTACTACATGCATATGAATATAAATATGGTACATACACAAAAATAACAATTTTTACAATTTTTGTCTTCCTGTCTTCCTGTCTGTTTGTTCCGGTTAATCTCGGTAATGGCTGGACCAATTTTAACGGGTGGCAGGTAGATGCAATAAGGAGTAATTTAGGCTACTTTTATTTTAGAAAAATAAAGTTATATTCCACGCGGACGAAGTCGCAAAATAAATATAGAGGTACACTTTTTTAAATCAGATAAGTTAAACAATGACGGTGCATTCACAATCCCGCAGTCAAAACTTAGATTTTCATTTTACAATTTTAACTCCTTACGTAAAACCAATATTGAAGTTGGGAATGGATTTTCTGTTTGGAGCGCAAACAAATCTTCCCGTAACAAACAACTATTAAAAACGGATCTATTCTAGTTTCAAGACGCAGCAGCCTAATGGCAAGAAGTTGGCTCATCGTTCTTGTAGACGGCAGACGGCAGACGGCAGCCGCTGATGGATGGCGCCGACTGTTACCTGCACTGCACGCCTCACGCCTCACTCCTTCATTGTTTCCTACTACGACTCTACTTACTTTAACGCTATTAATTTTAGTCACAATTCCTATATTACATACATTCAGTAAAGACTGTAAGTTTCTTATGCCATTGTGCCTACACTTGTAATATTTCTGTCAACAACACGAGACCCTTCCATTAGTTTACGTCTTCACGAACATAGATTTAAGTTAAGTGTAAAACAGTCCGCATTACGACTCTGCGTTGAGTACTGGCATCTCTAATAAATATTGTAGCACATTACCAATACCAATAAATAATACAATTATTACACCTGTATACTCACTGTTTACATACTACAATAAATAGAATAGAATAGAAAATCATTTATTCAAATAAACTTACATTGAAGCACTTTTGAATAGTCATCACATTTCTTTTAATCTACCGCTCATTCGGAAAGCTGTCTCATCACAAGAAAATCGAACAACAAACTTGTGTGTTGCTCTCTTAAATAATTTTATTGTTACTTTACAATTTAAGTTTTAGTGTGTGAATACAAACTACCGATTAGCACTAATTCAATTAAATAATCAAATAAAAAAATATTTAATACACAACAACTGGTTAAATAATTAATAAGAGGAAATCAGTCATAGTGATTAGAGCAGCACCCGTTCACGAGTATGACGGATAATAATATATTATGTAGCGATACCTCATCACATCACAACATATATAACAGTGGTGAGGATAAACCACCGCGCTACACCATTGTAACAAAGAATACATCGACATTTTGAGACATAAAGAATTTCCTCGATGACACACATTTTACTTGTTAATATTACAGACAGGTAATGGACGTTAAAAGCAAGAGGACGTTGAAAGTTTTAAATAATGTTTAAAACAGGACATTGTAGACTACTGTCGGTCACTCAATTCTCCCAAATTTGAAATTAAAACACCCTGTATTATTGTAAACATGTATAACATTTATTTGAAAAGAATACGAGCTGAGTTTGAAATAAAATAAAATGATATATATTCAGTAGATGTTAAAAAAAACTAAAGCATACATTAAACAAAAAAAAAAACTCAATCATTGCAACAATTACAAAAAAAAAAAAGTATATTCACCATTTAAGTACATTTGTTATAAATTACAAATTACGTGTGCGAGGGTGCGTGCATGCTTAAGTTCTTTTCATCTCGAAATCATTCCGAACTGACGGTAGCTTTGACATATCATAAAATTTTGTAATAGATCTCCATGAATAAAGATATTTTGAATTTGAACTATATACCGGGAATAACCTGACCGAGTCAAAACGTGAAATTTAGGGCGTTCGTGGGCAGGACCCCACCGACATGCTGCCCACCTTCATGAAGGAAGACTGCTAGCAGAAGGGTGTGGTGTATCGGCGCAACATTGGCAGATTGCCGTTGTCAGTGCTGTGACTACAGAGAAGTTATATTTATATTGTTATCTTTATATGTAAAAAACGTGTCACGTTATTTGTCCGCGATGAACTCCTAAACTACTGAACCGATTGCAAATTTGATTTGCACATTGTGTGCAATTTGATCCAACTTGAAAGATAGGATAGCTTACATCTCAATTTATAGTCGCAATATTATTTTATTCAAGAACCTTAGACAGAGCAACGCGTGGCCGGGTCTGATAGTTACATATATATGTATGTTAGTCCATTAGTCTAAGATATTTACAACATAGGATATCTAAACATACATATATATAACACAAAGGTGACTGACCGACGTAGTGATCTATCAATGCCACTGGACGGATCGGGCTGAAATTTGGCATGCAGGTAGATGTTATGACGTAGGCATCCGCTAAGAAAGGATTTTGATTAATTCTACCCCCAAGGGGATAAAATAGGGGATGAAACTTTGTATGAAACTTTGTCAATTTTAAACCGATCGGACTGGGATTTTGCACGCATAAAGCTACTATGACGTAGGTATACCCTAAGAAAGGATTTTGATACTTTCTCCCCCTAAGGGGATAAATTAACGCGAGCGAAGCCGCGGGCAAAAGCCAGTTATTCATAAATATGTGCTGGCAATACGGAAATATGTTGATTATTGTTAATTTAGCAATTCACGTACTACGATTGTCACGTCGTTTCACGTCGTTTCACGTCGTGTCACGTCAGAGTCTACACGGCCGTGTCACAATCACTTTAGTATATGTCAATGATTTAGTGGCATCATTGGTATTTATTATTTATTGTCAGTTGAAATCGTAACTGTATCAAAACAACTCGCCTAATTGTAACGTAACAGAATGTTATGTTGTTGATATCCAATAAGCAAATGGTTATTGTATATTAATAAGAATAGAATAGAATAGAAAACCATTTAATTTAAGTACTTTTGAATAGTCATAGTTAACATTCTTTTAATCTACCGCTCATTCGGTAAGCTGTCTCATCACAAGAACGAGGAGAAACTTGAGTGTTACTCTTTTAAGAGGTAATAATAACATGTTAGGCCTTAAACTAAAATAAGGATTTAATTAACTTTGCAATTAATTTACTTCTCGTGAATGTTGCTATATGGAAATTAAAGATTTTTGAAGCAAAACTTCTATATAGACGGAAAAATCCTAACAGGAGTTTAGGAGTTTCCGGTGACGAAAAAGCGTGGCGGTAGACGAGATATCGCGTTATCTGTTGATGTATCACTTCTATGTATACCAGAATACATTCCTTTTTTTTACACTCTACATATGTATATAATAAATAATAATAATCTCAGGACAATTCACACAGCGCCATCTAGACCCGAGTTAAGCTAGCTAAAGCTTGTGTTACGGGTACTAGACAACTGATACAAATACATAGATATTTTTTTTGTAAATACATACATATTATACATAGAAAACACCCAGACCGATACAAACAATCATAATCATGAATCAAATATAATATTTGTTGTGCGAGGAATCAAACACTTTTTTTTCGGACTACTCTAATGCTGTTGGCCGCAGCTGGCCTTTACAGCTTCACCGGACGTTAGGGGGCGAGTGCAGATGGCACTCCAAACCAAAGGAAGGACTTATGGAGCGGCTGAAGGCCAACTCCCGCCTGACGGATACGACTTTAGTCTGAGGACACCTTTCGAACCTCGGCTCAAGCCGTCGTAACATCGGTCCCCGTTTGAATTGAACGGGGGATCGATCGGAGGGGAATCGAACCCGCGACCATCGGATCGGCGGTGTGCTAAATCGCTAGACCACTGTAGTGTACGCATATACTACAGTAAATGATTATTATAATTGGCGATCTCTTCCTATCATCTCAACACAATTATGCTAGAGATCTAACTGCAAAAATATACCAAAAACAATAACTACTTCTTCAAAACTTATACAGATAAAGTCAAATCACATAGAAATTATCACTTTCATGTAAACACTGAATCCTCACAAACAGACCTATGGGTTCCACATAGGAGATGTGATCGACGAAATCACGTTTTCCCATGTACAGCGTAATTTTCCCATTGGGCGCGCACTTTTTGAACACCTTAAAATTGTACACCATGATTACAAATCAAAATATATAGAGTCAGAATTGTAGAATACACCAGTGGCGTATACTGAGCACAGTGCTCCCGTGAACGTACGTATAACGTATATATATTCAGGATTATTTGCTCGTGGGGCTTCTGAGCCACGTTAATCTCATTTGCTTCATTAGTTGTTCGCGTAAGTGCCTACTGTAGGGTTTGTCTGAAGGCAAACAACGGCCACGATTTCTGTAATCATGTTTTTGTGGCTCTGAAGGTCAAGTTATTCAACCTACCTTCAGTTTGCGTCACTAGAATTTGCGTACAACAAAAAAAGAAGTAGGTTTGCTGTAGTGACACGGGCTATTGCCTAATACTGTTCTAATGACACGATGAGACAGGTGGATGTTCCGTATAATAGAAATTTGTTGGAATCGATGCTACTCTACATAATAAATAATAAATACCATATAGTAATTTTAAGTAGCTATGACGTGGTCGAGTGGAATGAGCTGTCATGCTCACTAAAATGTCCAGACATATTACGACGTGGTGGGCCGGGTCATTGGGCTCCCTAAAATATGGTGGAGCGCAGTGATGCCTGGTTCATGAACGAGTGCTGCTTGTAGGTACTGGTCACTATCACTACGACTGATTTAATCTTATTATATTTGACCCTAATAAATTAGTGCTGGTTGGTGGTTGATATTCACACGTTTCGACTTGTAAATGTAAACTTACAATGATATTTCAAATAGCAACACGCAAGTTTCTTGCTCGATCTTCTTGTGATGAGACAGATGTTCGAATGAGTGGTAGATTAAAAAAATATTATGACTATTCAAAAGTGCTTAAATTAAGTTTATTTGAATAAATGATTTTCTATTCTATTCTATTCATAGAGAGAGATAGCATGTCTGAAATCTAGTCTGAGAGTTAATTGAAGCCCTAGACATCCGCAATCCTAATCACGACCTATTACTCCAGTAGTTACCTATAAAAACAAGGTACCTTCGTATTTTTCGTCTGTCAACACTCAGCGTTCTGTTGATAAAGATTGTCGATGAAAATAACAGTGTTTCACGGCTTACCCGCGGCCCGGCGCAATATAAACACAACCATACCATCGGTTTACTGTAAATTGAAAAACTCGTCATGAATTGGCGCGGGAGGGCGCGGGTGAGGTCTCGTAAAAAGCCGCATATTCAATAAGCGTCCGATTCCGAATAAATAAAGTCATCTCGTCGCGTCGTAAACCCCTCAAATCGGTCACCAGCATCCCCCGCCCCGCCGCGCCCCGCCGCGCACCGCCCCGCCGCCCCGCCGCCCTCTGTTTGCTTTATTCTATATTCCCATTCTATTTTTCTGTTCGCGTATTTTGGAATACAAGAAAAACTGAAAATAAATGATCTGTAGATGGTAGTAGGGCTGAGCTGCAGGCTACTACTAGGGTCCATAGGTGGCGGATAATGGAACGACTTTGAGATATCATAGCTAACTGAGTAATCAGTCCCCGATTGGAATCAGCGGCAATGTTTGAGGGTGCAGCGGATGCTTCTCGGGATGAATGCTTCTCTTCCCAATGAAAACTATTGTGTCATGGCGTGTATGTGCCGCCATTAAATAAGTACTCCCTGGTACATGGGCAGCTGCACGTACTGTAGACATACGGGTGGAGGTCATGGGGACTGGTACAGCTGAGTGTCAAAACTACTGCAATGGCAGTAAACAACGATGTGAAAGGCAAAGGGAGAACCATCGCATTATTTTTCCCAGGACAATAATTACGGCATTGAATAAAAACAAAATGGCCCTTAGTCTCCGGCAGACCTTACATCATCAAAGGGTGCGAGGAATCCCCGGATGCAGCAATATAAAAATCGCCACTTGGAATGTGCGGAGCATGTTCAAGATAGAGAAAGTATCCAAGAAAAAATCCAGGGCCTGCGAAGACCAGGCAGGCGCCGCACTCCATGGCTAAAGAATCTAAGGCCCACTGCCTTTGGGGTTAGCACCAGATCCTTGTTCAGAACAGCGGTGGACAAAATTAAGATCGCCAGGATGATCGCCAACCTCCGGTATGAGACGGCACATAGAGAAGAAGAAGATGGTAATGTTCAAATTTAATCCATTGTGCCAGTTTAATTTTTTATATTAATACTAGCTGATCCAGCAAACGATCATATAAGTTGAGGTACTAATGCCGCTATAAAAAAGGTGGTTGATCCTAAAAAGGTGAAAATTTGATTTAGCATATATTTTTATACTTTTTTATACTCTATCTATTTTTATACTAAATGTGGACTTATAATCCTATTGCTAACAATATACCATGTCAGTTGACCTCCACGAGGTTTCCCCTTGAAATCCTTGTGACAAATTTGACCTTCAGCCGCTCCATAAGTCCTTCCGCGGGTTTGTAGTGCCATCTGCACTCGCCCCCTTTACAGAAGCTGTAAAGCTGTAAAGGCCAGATACAGCCGACATTAGAGTAGTCCGAAAAAAAAACTTTGTACAGTAAATATATTAACAGAAATTTAGGGTTTTACTATTTATTTAGGGGATGAAAGTTTGTATGAAACTTTGTCAATTTTAAACCGATCGGGCTGAGACTTGGCTTACATAAAGCTCCTATAACGTAGGCATCCCCTAAGAAGAGATTTTGATCAATTCCACACCTAAGGGGATAAATTAACGCGAGCGAAGCCGCGGGCAAAAGCTAGTCTATACATATAAATAAAATTGGAGTGTCTTGTTGCGGGGTAATAATACGATGTTGTCGGTTGAGACGATGTATATTACAGATGATAACAGACTGACAATATGTACATAAACATATTGATATTATATACTAAATGACAATAGGAAAATGTAAGGTGGGGCGACATAGGTTAGACACAGCAGTGCTTAGTACACAATATTGGATTTGTCTTACTAGACATTATTAAATGCAATTATTATATTGATGTATCTAGGTAACTGTGTCCCATATGTATGTTTGTAATATTGTAATAACCGTTTTTTACTATATGCATATGAATATAAATACGGTACATACACCAAAATAACATTTTTTATCATTTTTGTCTGTCTGTCTGTCGGTCTGTTTGTTCCGGCTAATCTCTGAAATGGCTGAACCGATTTTGATGGGACTTTTATTGGCAGGCAGTTGATGTAATAAGGAATAACTTAGTCTAATATATTTTAGAAAAATAAAGTTAAATTTCCACGCGGACGAAGTCACGTGTACAGCTAGATTAAAATCGCAGCTTCATTTCAGCAATGAAGCGGACAGCAAGTCAGGACTCCTAGTCTTACAATAGTGGAGCAGTTTTATAATAATTGTAAACTGTCCATACAACAATGAAATGTTTAACAATTTATCTATACTTTCTATGTCTAAGTTATGACGACCTCGTGGTCTAGCGGTTTAACACACCGCTTTACGTCCGATGGTCGCGGGTTCGATTCCTCGCACGGCACAAACATTTGTATTCATGAGTATGATTGTTTGTATCGGTTTGGGTGTTTTCTATGTATAATATGTATGTATTTGTGAAATAAAAATTTATGTATATATATCAGTTATCTAGTACACATAACATAAGCTTTAACTAGCTTAACTTGGGTCTGGATGGCGCTGTGTGAATTGTCCTGAGATTATTATATTATTTCTTCAATATGTTACGAGTTCTGAACAGACAGATGATTGTAGCCTTATATATAGTATGTAATATTATGTTATCTGTGTATATAGCACAGATATTGGTATATAGTATGTCACTTCATCTACAAACATTTGAGCTACACATAACGAAACCTTAAAGTACGTTTATTCAATTTACCTAAAGTTCAATTATACCACCGGAACCAAGAGAAGAAAAAAAAAGTTCGATTTTCAATTTAATACAGTTTTTTTTGTATACCCTTTAGGAAAGGCAAAGGAAACTGTGCTCATACAGCCATGTTAGTTTGCTTTTAAAAACCTAGTAAAAAATTATAGTCCGTATAAATATAAGTCCGTTATAAATCAAATGGCTTCTGCAATTATTATACTGCCGCATAAACAGTATGTAATAAATACTAATGTAAGTAATGTGTCATTCAAACTGTCATTCTGCTGACTGTGTGAATTTAAAATTGGAACAGCAAACACAGAGTGCAGCGATCCGATCCAAGAATACGAAAGTGATCAAGACGAGCTGGCGTGACGTCACCACCGCTTCACCGGACATAGCGGCGCCGGCGCACGTCTCACCGGGCCCTCCCCCCTCAACTCCCCCCTTGCCCCTTTGCTGCCGCTACCGCGCCCCTCTCTCGCCCGGAACAACAGTTATACTCACTACGTTGAACCTATACACTGTGTCTTCTATTTTGTGTAATTGTCTGTTTGTTAGAAACCCTGTGATATTGTTATGTACTGTCGTTCTAGTTGAAGCTCGACGGGGATATTGCCAACTGATTCCTCCAGTCAGAGCCGTGGTGTGACTTCGGTACGTACCTACTCTGTTGTTGTGTTGTGTTACTGTTGTGATAGTTTTGTGTTCTCTCTATGCCAACACGATTTAATAGCTTATTGGCATTTGATTTCTTTTGATGCATACATGTTTCAGGTACGTACCATCTTTGATAATATTTTAACGAAATTATTGAACAAACATGGTACACGGGGAGACGTTGTTTAAGAGTGACTACCTGACTTGAGATGGATCAAATACATAAACAAACTATGTAGAGTGAAGCAATGGCCTTTATTATGACATACGTGTGAAAGAAAATAAGAGGTTTTTTTGGTTAATTTCTTTTTTATAATGTTCATTTTTAATTCGTCGAAACTCGTTAACTTTATAAGAACAATACTATATATAACGTTATAAATCATTTACAGATATATTTTTATTGTTTCTAGATACTAAACCACTATAGAGCAAGAGTCGTGAAATGTTGAGAAAATTCCCAGTTAAAAATATATAATTTATCTACCACCTCTTATGATATATATAAAATTTCAGATTTATTAAAATAACGTAAGTTTATTTATAAAATAATATAGTTTAGGGGTGTGCGGGGGGGTTGGAACCACACTAAGTGTCTGGTAATGTACATCGGGGTCATTCAAATTCAAATTGAAATTCAAAATCACTTATTCATGTAGGACATTTTAGCTGCATATGAACTTCAAGTGTTTACATTATAATTTTATTTTTTTCATAAAAGTAAATAATAAGTTCTAATGATGCAGTGAGCCAATAGTTTAGTTCCACATTGAACAGCACGCCGAGCCGCCGTCATTCATTAGCGAAAATATTTATAAAACCTCTCGATATATTTCAAATAATCAGAAAGACCCCTTCTTTCTGATTATTTGAATTTTATTTCTGTGTGTATTATATACATCGAGCATGTATATAATACTCACACACATACACACAAACACAAGTGTGGAGAAAACCAGCAAACTATGAATATATTATATTAGTATAAGATTATGATAAGAGTATAAAATCCTTACTTCCTTACTCCCTTATTAGAGTTATTTTCGTAGTAACTAAATTTCGTAATAACTAGTAAGTGACTCTATCTGTCTGTGTCTCGCTCCGCGCTAAAACTACTGAATTGATTTAAATGAAATTTGATACACAGATAATCTAAACCCTAAAAAAGGATATAGGCTACTTCATAATTCGAAATAAGGGTTGAAAGAGGAGATAAAAGTTTGTATGGAAAAGCGTCATTTTTGAAGCTATAACGATGAAACTTTTTTTGGCATTTTGATTTAGAATATTGAATATTTCTTCTTTATTTGATCAACTCTACAACACGAAGTCGCGGGCACAGTTAGTAAGATATTTTTCAATGTACTATTTTGATTATTTCAGCTGATGGATGTAGCGTAAAAGCGGAGCATGCACACCAGCTCGTCGTCAGCGCGCGATGTACGCGAGCCAACCGACTCACAACCGCCAGGTTTATAACAGTCATTTAATTATATACACTTACTAAAACTTCACCTAAAAGAACTAGAAGTGTTGTGAATACTCTTTCGTTAAACTTTTTTATATTTAAAAGTAATACGACCTCGGTGGTATAGCGGTCTAGCACACCGCTTTACGTCCGATGGTCGCGGGTTCGATTCCTCGCACGGCACAAACATTTGTATTCATGAGTATGATTGTTTGTGTCGGTCTGGGTGTTTTCCATGTATAATATGTATGTATTTACGAAAAAAAAATATCTATGTACTTGTATCAGTTATCTAGTACCCATAACACAAGCTTTAGGTAGCTTAACGTGGGTCTAGATGGCGCTGTGTGAATTGTCCTGAGAAAAAAAAAAAATAGTTGTATAGGTATCAATATGTATTAAAATTTTGATAGTTCGTTCCTCAGGTTGTTTGTAAAAAGTGTTGTATTTTTCCTTGATTCACTAAAATATTTTATTTCTTTAGCTAATACAATATATATATATATTAGTAGACATGAATCGGAAAGTGCCATTCGTCTATTAATCTATTCATCCTATGTATCCGCTGTCCTGGAACCTAGTATACTTTATCCACAACATCATCGATTTATCCGATCCATCACAAGAAGCACATATAGTCGGTTCAATAAAACAATGGCAATATTCAAAATGTACATTTTTTACGAGACAATCACTTTTCCTTTAGTATTAAATTCACACAGAAGTATTGTATATCATTTTAAATGTATTTAGATAATGATTAAGACGGCGTGGTTAATTTAATTGACTATATATAAAATTCTCGTGTCACAGTTTTCGATCCCATACTCCTCCGAAACGGCTTGACCGATTCTCATGAAACTTTGTGAGCTTATTGAGTAGGTTTGAGAATCGGCCAACATCTATTTTTCATCCCCCTAAATGTTAGGGGTAGTCCAACCCTAAATTTTTATATTTTATTTTTTAGACAAAATTTTTAGTTTCTATTTTTTTATGATACAACATGCAAAAATACGTACAATCCTAAATTTTCACCCTTCTATCATCAACCCCTATTTTTCATAGCGTTATTAATTTATATGGCAAAACAACGTTTGCCGGGACAGGCAATTCTAGCTTCTAATTTTGAAAAATAACATTTTTCTATTTAATCAACGATATAGTTACGGAGTATTACAGAAAGTAAAACAAAGCAGATTTACTAAAGGAACAAAGCACAAGATTGTGCAAATGCAGTTGGGAAACAACACTTTTATAATGGTCACACAGCGCATTCAAATGAAACAAGAACTGCAGCTAGGGAAAAACTAACATTTATTTATTAGACTGAGTTAGATTAATCTAATAAATTTATTACGTATCATTACATAGTACGAATGTTAGGGGTTGAAAGGGGAAATAAAATATTGTATAAAAGCAAAGTCATTTTTAAAGCTAGAAGGATGAAACTTATTTTTTAGACTGTTCATTTAATATAAATAAATATGACGTTCAAAGTTTATAAATAGGGGATGAAAATTTGTATGGGCATTCGTCATTTTTGAAGCTAGATAGATACAAAACTTTTCTTTGCGTGAAATAAACTGTAGGAAGCCACAATACATATTTTCGCGGAGCAAGAAAAGCTAGGAAAAAAAAACAGAATGGATAAAAAAATAAAAAAGGGCATGGACCTCCAGTCTATGGAAAATAAGGGAATAAGTTATAAAAAAACGTTGCAAGCGTTCGTGGCAATAACCGCTTACCCCGGGGAGATATGTACATACAATAACTTACTTTCCATCCATATTTAATTCATATAAGAAACATATTAATTTCCTGTTCGAATTACTTGATATTTATTCAGTATATATGTATAGCGTTATACAGTTTTGGTATTTACCATATATATATATATATATATATATATATATATATTTGTTTATCATATATATAACCGAGAAAAAGAGAGGCTGGCTCACGAGGTGACCGAAATGTGGGGGGTGATATCCACCGAAATCATTCCAATCGTTATGTCGGTGAACGGTCTTATCCCAACCAGTCTGGAACAACATCTCAGACGGTTGGGATTCCGAGACGGCTCACTCCCGGGAAAGATGCAGAAAGCGGTGCTGTTACATTCTGCCCGCATTGTACGCCGGTTTCTCTCCCTGGGGCCCTGAACCCCGGCCGACTGTGCTTCTGCCGGGGGTAAGTTGCCATCTCCTCTCCTTAAGAGGGGAAATGAGAATTTTTTTTAAGCTTAAGTTTAACAGACTTTTATGATATGTCAAATCTACCGTCAGTTCGGAATGATTTCAAGATGAGAAGAACTGACAAGAAACTCAGCTCGTATTCTTTTCAAATAAACGTTGTATATGTTTACAATAATACAGATTCATTTTTAAATTCTGTGAGAATAGAGTGACCTACAGCATATGCTATTTCAAGAGCATATATATCATGACTAATTCCTGGTGAATGCGGCTATGTGCTGACCTGACCTCATGTTCATCTTATGACCCTGGTGCCCCGCCAGCGTAGACCTTTAGCGCAGACAGGTGCATGGTGCACCTGAAACATCTACTATCTGTCCACTAACATCTATTAAACAAATGTGTTGAGGCGTGGTGGAGCTGCGCGAGGACGTGCCGCTGAAGGCGAGCCGGCTGGGGGTCGGCGGCGCGGCGCGGTGCGGCGGCGGCCCGCGGTTCATCCTGGGCTGCTTCGCCGCACTCTCCGCCGCCGTCACCATCGCGCTGCTCACACAGATATACTACGGCGACTATCAGGTAACACACGCTGTCTAATGTCATTATAACAGAGTATAAAACAAAGTTGCTGTCGCTGTCTGTCCCTATATACGCTTAAATCTTTAAAACTACGCAACAGATTTTGAGGCGGTTTTTTTTAATAGATATATATTTGTATAATACATGTACGCACGGGTGCGAAGCTAGTAATGTTATAAAGCTGAAGTGTTTGTTTGTTTGTTTCAACACGCTAATCTCAGGAACTACTGGTTCGAATTGAAAAATTCTCTTTATGTTGGATAGTCCATTTGTCGAGGAAGGCTTTAAGCTATATAACATTACGCTACGACCAATAGGAGCGGAGCTGCAATGAAAATATTGTAAAAGGTGGGGACATGAAACGCAGACGAAGTTGTGCGGGTCAGCTAGTTAGTGATAACGTAGTACTTACAATTCCTGCAAGATTAGAAATACCCAAGTTTAGCATTTTAGAATTAGTCCAGTAGATATTCTTAACGAATGAATGCAATGGATGCAATGCAACGGACGCCTTTGTCCAGCAGTGGACGTCTTCCAGGCTGAGATGATGATGATGGTGAATGCAGTGCTTCTTTTTCTCTGAAGTCAATAGCAGTCTAAACGCATTTATGTATACTTTTGCCCGCGGCTTCGCTCGTAAGTATTATTATTAATTAGGTGTAGTTGTTGCGACTTTTTGTTTAGCGTGTGTAAAAAATTAGGGCCTACAAAATCTAAGAAGATTTATACAAACTTTCATCCCATATTTTATCCCCTTAGGGGTGGAGTTTATCAAAATCCTTTCTTAGCGGATGCCAACGTCATAACATCTACCTGCATGCCAAATTTCAGCCCGATTCGTGAAGTGGTTTGGGCTGTGCGTTGATAGATCACTATGTCAGTCACCTTTGAGTTATATATATTTAGAAGTTAGGAACGCAATGTTAGCAAGTAGCCATATTTGCTTCCGTTTTTCGGTAAGGCAAAGATGCTTCATCATTCAAGCAATTTACCCTTTGATGAGCCGTATTAGTAGCTACATTTCCACCCCTCATCCCTCCGATCGATCCCCCGTCCAATTCAAACGGGGATCGAAATTACGACGGCCTGAGCCGAGGTTCGAACCCCTAGTGGTGCCCTCAGACTAAAGTCGTATCCGTCGGGCAGGAGTTGGCCTTCAGCCGCTCCATAAGTCCTTCCGCGGGTTTGGAGTGCCATCTGCACTCGCCCCATAACGTCCGGTGAAGCTGTAAAGGCCAGCTACGGCCAACAGCATTAGAGTAGTCCGAAAAAAAAAAAAAAATTCCACCCCTCTGTCTTCTAGGAATAATACACTGGTATTTTGCTAATTAGGACCAAAATACAATTATAATCTTTGAGCATAACTTTCAAAATTTAAAAGATTAGAGTCCTACTATTTTTTATGCAAATGGCATGTTAAACTAGCTGACGGATCGTGCTACTGAAACGGGACCAGAGGCGGATCTACCTAAGGGCTTTTTCGGCTGCAGCCCAGGGCCCCGAGGATACAAAGCTAAAAATATCTAGAATGTCTAGCGAAAGAAACGGAGAATTTCTGGTCGATTGTCGGTCGAATTTGGTCGGTGAATTTTTTTAGTCTATACATATAAATAAAATTGGAGTGTCTGTTTGTAATATTGAAATAACCGTTTTTTACTACATGCATATGAATATAAAAACGGTACATGCACCAAAATAACATTTATTACAGTTTTTGTCTGTCTGTTCCAGCTAATCTCTGAAATGGCTGGACCGATTTTGACGAGACTTTTATTGGCAGGTAGCTGATGTAATAAGTAGTAACTTAGGCTACTTTTATTTTAGAAAAATAAAATTAATTTCCACGCGGACGAAATCGCTGGTGTAGATAGTTGAGTACTATAATTAGGTAAGATAGGTAGGCCGCTAAGTATATTTAGCCCAGGGCCCCACAAATTCACGGTCCGGCCCTGGTTGGGATTAATAGTTCTGCGTGTGCAGGTGGTGCCGCACGGCAGCGTGTCGTCGTCTGCGGCGGCGTGCTCGCGCGCCGGCACGGACGCGCTGAAGACGGGCGGACGCGCGATGGACGCCGCACTCGCCGCCGCGCTCTGCCTCGCCGTCGTCGCACCACACCGGACCTCGCTGGACGCGTACGTATCCCGACGTGCACCTCGACGTCCCAACGGTACACCAGTCGACGGGTTAACGCGCGCACCTGCGATACCTCGCCCCTCTCCACGCGCGACCTACTCTCCACCGGGTGATCGCGTCATTTACGTGACTATGAATCCCGCCACACGACTCCATCAGCCGGCTGCTGGAAAACAGCCGGCTTCCGGCCGGCCAGCATTCAGAATGCTCGGGCAAGAAGCGTAAGCTCGAGGCCCATACCCAGCGGTCCACACTGGACCAGCGGACGAGCCGGTCAGTCAGTCAGTCCCGGAGTGCACGTGGTTGTGACGTGGACGGCGCGTGCTCGCGCACGTGCACAGACGCGCTGAAGTCGTGAAAGTCGTGCTCGCCGCCGGTTGCTGCTGATGCTCCAGATGCAGCGACGATACATCTTAGAACATTCTCTTTCAACTTACAGCTTAGCCGCTACTAATATCTACTTTTAGTAATAGCGCCATCTATGCGATCATACTGATACTAAACAATTCATACGAAAACAAACTAAGCAACCTCGCTGCTATATGCCGCTACTGCTGTAGCAAAGAAAATGGAATGCTGTTGCTTGTTTGAGTAAGTTTTGACGTCTTAACGATAGAGGGCGTTAAGTTTAGATGTTTATAATATTATAATAAACGTTTTATGGCCTTTCTATGCAAATAGAAAATTATATATTCTATATCAATTTAATCAATCTTTGCTTATCGGAGAGGTCAACGCCACGTAGTTACGGTTCCGTTAATATGACCGGTTACGCGGTTGTTAATTGCCAGCACATGAACCAGATGCGTAATGTACCTTGGCGGGGCCCCGTATGGAAATTTGTTTTTTTTACGAAGGGTAAAGATTTCTCACAAAAGAAAAAAATTGCATAAAATTTCAAATAAATATTTATTAATCATAATTATCTATTTATCATTTTTACAAACAATTGATATTAAATGTACACTCTCCTTGCCTTTTTTTCGGCAGACTAATTTATTAAATTACTAGCTGTCCCGGCAAACGTTGTTTTGCCATATAAATTAATAACGCTATAAAAAAAATAGGAGTTGGTGATAGAAGGGTGAATATATGGGTTGTATTTTTTAATGACACTTATTAAAAAATATATTATTAATAAAAATATTTGCCCAAAAAATAAAAAAATAATGTTAGGGGTGGACAACCTATCATTTAGGGGTATGAAAAATAGATAGTAGCCGATTCTCAGACCTACTGAATATGCATATAAAATTTCATAAAAATCGGTCAAGTCGTTTCAGAGGAGTATGGTAACTAACATTGTGTCACAAGGATTTTATATATAAGATTTATAGTTGATGCGGAAAAAATAAATTGCATTCATTTACTTTAGTCATTAGTGAAATAAAAAAGAATTTGAAAGTTAATTGTTGCTTATGCACGTTGGGGGCCCCGTATAATGGATACGACAGTTACTGCGGTAGCTACGCCTCTGACATGAACACTAAAAGCTTTACATAGTTTATCATATTAACGCTAAATTTTATTGCTAATTTTAATATTCAATTTGTACACTTGTCAGAGCGTACGAAAATAAACCGATAGTTACCCGATAATATGTTATTACCTACCTGGTTGCAATTAATATTTCTATACTGATTACTGACAGATTCAAATCGTGCAAATAGAAAACGAATAGAGTGTACAATCGATGTCTGTGTACTCGAATTATTATTACGTATTCGAATTATAGAAATAGTAGAAATTGAAATAATCTTTATTCAAAATAGAGCAGATATTAATAGCTTCATCATCATCATCGCAGCCCGGAAGACGTCCACTGCTGGACATAGGCCATCCCCAAAGATCTCCACGACGATCGGCCCTCCATTCCCCTTAATAACTTATTTGGAATCATTTTTTGCTTGAAAAGCAAGGACTACCTGCCGCAGCTGGTCTGTATGAGTCTGCTGTGACTAGAGTTGCCAGATTTTTTTTCAGCCTACAAGGGGCAAACGCTTTAATAGGCAAATAAATAGGGGAATTTAGTTTTTTTCCCGGAACAAATTGTCAAAAGACAAATGGTCTAGCGTAGATCGGTCGATTTAATATTAAAAAACGCAGCACGATTCGAATACGGGACAGTGTCAGTCCCGCCGTGACATCTTAAACTAAGCCTAAAATACGGGACGTCTCGGGAAATACGGGACGTCTGGCTAGCTGTGGCCCACAGAATCTGGATGCCTTGATGTATAAATGATAAGTCCGGGCTGCTTTCCAACTTGATTTATTGAGTACACGATGATTGAGTGTGGACTGATGCTTGTTTGTGAGTATTTGGTGTACTGAAGGGAGAATGATATGTGTGGACGTTATATGGACGCGGAGCGGTGTAAAATGATGACGGTTGCACGGTGACGCACCGTACATGCTGCCGGGCGGGAGAAGAAGGAAGTGTTGTTGATGATATGATATGATATAGTGTGATAAGATATGATATAGTGATTACATTAACTTAAAAATATTATATCTTAATTAACAAGGTAAATAATAAAATTGTCAATTTCTTCATTCTTCTTTATAATTCTAAATGTCCCTCTTAAATTGTTTGCTGATTTAGAGTTTCACTGGACGAAAGAGGGCGATAGCAGATGGCACTCCAAACCCACGGATGGACTTATGGACTTGCTGAAGGCCAACTCCCGCCTGACGGATATGACTTTAATCTGAGAGCACCGCTGGGGGTTCGAACCTCGGCTCAGGCCGTTGTAATTTCGATCCCCGTTTGATTTGGACGCGGGATCGATCAGAGGGAATTACTAGGAAGCATGTGTGAAGCGTAAGTTTTGTGAACAGGAGCGGGTCGTTGTTGTACTGGGAGTACCGGCAGTCGCGCACGCAGGGCCCGCTGCTGGCGGAGTGGGGCGGGCCGGGGCCGGGGGCGGGGGCCACGGGGGCGGGGCAGGGGGCCCGCCTGGCGCCCCGCACGCTGTCCGCGCTGGCGGCGCTGCACGCGCAGCTCGGCGTGCTGCCCTGGCCGCGGCTGCTGCAGCCTGCTATAGACCTCGCGAGGTATACCACACTTTTCTTTCTATTATATATAATGTACAATGACGTTGACGATCTCGAGTGTTTAGTATTTAGCACACCGTCTCACTTTCGATGGTAGAAGATACATTGCACGGTACAAACATTTGTGAAGAGTATGATTGTTTGTATCGGTCTGGGTGTTTTCTATATATATTATGTATGTATTTATAAAAAATTGTCTAAGTATATTTGTGTCAGTTGTTTATTACCTAGGCTCTGCTTAATTTGGGACTGTATGGCGTTATTTAAATTTTCGAGTTATGATATATATGTGAACCGAATACTTCATTATTTACAATATATGCCGTCGAAGACTCAATTATCATTAATCCTTCGAGCCGTTTCTGCAGCACTGGTGCCATGGCGGAGCTCGTACTCGTAAATAACGTAACATAACGTTGTGAACGGAGTGACGCAAAGAAAAAACCAAAGTTGGAAAAAATTACAGTTTTCGAGAAACAAATGCATGAGTAAATAGCTGTATAAATTTGAATTTGGAATTCCTAACCAAAGAGGAGACATTTGAGATCAAAGTGGCCAATACGACAAAACGACAATTTCATATGTTAGGACCTAATATTTAAATTGGTTTTGTTGTCCCCGTGTGTAACAGTGAGGGATTCCCGGCGTCCGAGGGCTTGATGACCGCGGAGGCTGCGTCGGTCCCGCAGGCCGCCTTCCGCCGCGCCCCGGAGCTCGCCCAGTACCTGCGCGCCCTGCAACGGAACACCAGCGCCGGTAGGGGGCGGTTGTACGCTACATTCTAACACTTTGGAATTCAAGTCTCACACGATAAATGTAACTGGAGAACTTAATTAAGTTTATTGTAAAATGTTTGGACCGAAATCAGTGGTTGCTCAATTTAGATTCTAAAGTTGAGTTGCCAACGGTCCTGTTTGCCCAGGACATGTCCTAGTTTTTGAAGTGTCCTGAGAAGTCCTGAATAGTATAATTGGCAGCGTCCTGAGTTTTTAAAATTCGTGCGCCTCTTTATTACTGGTTTTCAACACGTATAATTTTTTTAAAGTACTTTTTATTAAAAATATTATTACTTTAATTACTTGAATTTAATTTCACCTATTTAACTATGGCTTTAATCCTGGTTTTTTATATTTGGACTTGGCAACCCTATTCTAAAGTAAACTTGGAAGATCGAGAGTAGACAGTAATGAAGAGTTCGTGAACCTCCATAGAGCTGGCGGCTGCGTGGGGAGCGGGCGGGCTGGTGCGCGAGGGTGCTCCGCTGGCGGTCAGCGGCGGCGGCTGGCGGGCGTACGCGGGGGGCGCGGGGGCGGCGGGGGGCGCGCTCGCAGCCCTCGCCGCCGCCCTGCAGCCGTCCGCGGGGCCCGACGACGACAGCCTCAGGTACCGGCACAAGCTAGTATCAGTTTTGATATAAATCAGTATTGCATGAACTCCTGCAACACGTTCATCGATCAGTCTGCTCCCTCTAATATGGTTGAGTGCAATGATGACTGGCTTATCCGCCATACTCGTGACTAGGTGCTGCTTGTGGGGACTGGTTTGTTCGGGTTACGAACACTGATTAGACTATTCGCTTTTGCAATAACATTTGCTGGTGGTCCCTCCATTCTTCCAAATTTGAATTTAAAAATGAATCTGTATTATTGTAAATATGTACAACATTTATTTGAGAAGAATACGAGCTGAGTTTCTTGTCAATTCTTCTCATCTCGAAATCATTCTGAACTGACGGTAGATTTGACATATCATAAAAGTCTGTAATAGACCTACATGAATAAAGATATTTTGAATTTCATCGTAAAGTGGTATCAGCTATGATATCAGGTATATATGATGCCATAGCCTACCCAATTTTCACCGCGCCCCGAGCTGACCTATGTGTAATGGAATTTCAGAGTGATCAGCTCGCTGCAACACGCTGCGGCGGAGTCCAATGGCACGTGGCCGCCGAGCAGCGTGGCCACCGGACTCGCCGTCGTCGACCGCCTCGACACGTACCTCGCACTAGTCACGTGAGTTGACACTCTAAACCAGTGATTCTCAAAGTGGTCTATATCGACCCCCAGGGGTCTATGACAAATTGCAAGGGGTCTACGACAGCGGTCATCTTGTTGTTTTTAACACTTTACTGCAGTTAGAAATTTACAAAATGGCAAGGGGTCTAGGACACAAAAAAGTTTGGGAACCTCTGGTCTAAACTAACCTCGACTTCTAATTACAAGATGGATGCTAGAGGGCGGCCAGTATCCTTGTAAATATCAGTGTATTTATTTTAGAGGTGTATGTCTACTTCATTTTGATTATTTTTCAATCTTGTGTACTAATGTAATAGACTTCGATGTGGTAGCCAGGGTTATAGATTTCTTTTAAATTTTCCAACTGTAGTTTAGTTAAGTTTAGTGTTAAAAACATAAAGTTTTTTACTTATATACCAGATAAGGGGGGTCTACCCAAAATCGAAAAATATGGCAGGGGGTCACACAAAAAACTTTGGGAACCTCTGCTCTAAACAGTGCCATGTATCAAACATCCTAGAGAATAAAATATACATATTTTTACAGTGGATTGTCTAAACCATTCGGGTCGGGCCCACCGACTGCGGAGGGCTGGATACGAGATGAACCTTCCGAGCCCCTCGACCTGGCGCCGGCTATCATTACGGAAGACTTCGTGTGCGGTACGTTTGGTCGCCCGACTGCCGGTCGGTGATTATTAATTTTATAGTACGATGGTGGTAAACAAGCATAAGTCCCATCTGATGGTAAACGGTCACTTTAGCCTTTGGACGCCTAAGACACTAGAGATTTTAAGAGAGACCTTAATATACCCTTCTTGAAATACCCTATGCTGTAGTCTCGCAAGAAAACTTTGGCTGGTAGTGTATACCACAATCTAAGTGTACGCGGAAGGAAGCTCATAAAGGGGCGGGGGGGGGGGGAGGTTGTCGTGGGGGCGACCATTAAGTATGGTGGTCCGCAGGGTCGCGGTACGTGGCGGGCGCGGAGTCGTGGTCGGCGCTGGCGCAGGCGGCCGCGGCGCTGGTGCGGGGCGGCGCGGCCGGCGTGGAGCGCGCGCGCGTCGCGCTGTGGCCGGGGGGGGGCGGCGCGCTGGCGGCGGAGGGCGCGGGGGCGGGGGCGGGGGCGCCCTACGCCGCGCTGCCGCCGCCGCCCTACAACGCGTCGCCGCCCTACGCCGCCGTCAACGTGGTGCAGCAGCGCGCCGACGCGCTCCTCTCGCACGCCGACAGCCGCGGCGGAGGACTCGGCTCGCGGTTCCGATGACGACCTCGCTGCGTGTTCTACTTTGTTTAAGACATTTATTTAATTTATTTTAATAAATAAAATGATTTTTTTTTCATTTTTATTACTAAATTTTAAGCACGTTTAATTTCACTTGATGTTATGTGATAATGCAGCCCAAGCTCTTAAAGACAATTAGTGTCTATTCACTCTTGACTTGAAAGACCCAATGTTGTAAGATGCACACAATGGCGCTGGAAGAGAGTTCCACTCCTCAACTGCTCACATACGGAAAGATGATGCAAATCGGTTGGTACGAGCAGAAGGGATGTCAACTGTTTATGGATGGAGCCGCTCTCTACGTCTTGTGGTGAAACGATGCTGGAGGAATGTGACTATGGAGTTTCTGAGCACATTCGCCGAAATAGACTGCATTTCGGCGAATGTACTCAGAGAACACCGATAGATAAACCATTTTACGTCGTAGACTATGAAGCCTCTTAGCCACAAGTGATTCGTCCCCGATTAATCTTCTAGCTCGTCTGTCGACTTGATGATGTACACCAGTGATTCCCAAAGTGGTCTATATCGACCTCTAGGGTTCTATGACAAACTGCAAGGGTCTACGGCAGCGGTCATCTTGTTGTTTTTAACACTAAACTTTACTACACTTAGAAATTTCAAAATGGCAAAACCGAAATATATGGCAAGGGGTCTACGATACAAAAAAGTTTGGGAACCTCTGCTCTAGACCATCAAGTTGATACTGAGCGGACCCATCCCACATGTGGAACAATACTCTATGCAAGATCGGACCTATGCTTGGTTTAGTGTCAGAAGCTATGGATCGGTGGACTGTATGGGTGCCTAAATGATGAAACACGTAGTTTATATAATAATATAAGTAGTAGCAATAATATAATATATCCATTATTTAAATTATTAACCGGGTCTTACCACAAATAATTTTATAGCAAATTAAATAATCTTCTGGGTGGAATCCAGTCATAAATAAATTAAAGCAAAGTTCAGTAGCGTCAACAATCGATAAGTGTACGGATACCGTGAGTGCTGTGTGTCGCAAAACTTCGTTGAAAAATCTTGTGAAGGTAGATGAAAAAACTGATGTCACCTATCTACATTGACATCGCTGTTACACCAGTCAGCTCGGCAACTTAGTCGAAACGTCGAGAATAGACTAGAATAGAATAGAAAATCATTTATTCAAATAAACTTACATTGAAGCACTTTTGAATAGTCATTACATTTTTCTTAATCTACCGCTCGTTCGGAAAGCTGTCTCATCACTAGAAGAACGAGCAAGAAACTTGCGTGTTGCTCTTTTAAATAATTTTATTATTACTTTACATTTTTAAGTTTAAGTGTGTGAATACAAACCACCAATTAGCACTAATTCAATTAAATACTCAAAAAGAAAAAATATTGAATACATAACCAACTGGTTAAACAATTAATAAGAGCATAGTGATTATACAAGCAGCACCCGTTCACGAGTATGACGGATGAGCCAGCCATCACTGCGCTCGACCATATTTTAGGGAGCCCAATGACCCGGCCCACCACGCCGCCACAAGTCTGGACATTTTAGTGAGCATGACTACTCAAAACACTAGACCACGTCAAAGCTACTCACAATTACCATCTGATAGTTATAGTATTCACATTTTACATAAGAATGCATGCGGCAATTAATACAAAAACCGCTACGGTTTCATATTTCTAAAATCAATCAATTAAATCAAGAAAGCAATGAGAAAATAAAATTATAACGTTATGTGCTAATAAACTAATTATTTACTTGATATGTTGTCATCTATGAATTCGTCTATCCTGTAATAGGCTTTCTTACATAAAAATTGTTTAATATAAGATTTGAATTGCCTCTCTGTCAGATTTAATGCAGATTCTGGCAGTTTATTATAAAATCTTATGCAATTACCATAGAATGAATTACTGATTTTGTGCAGACGGCATTAAGGTAAAATAAGCTTATTTATATTGCGTAAGTTTCTACTTGTACAGTCTTTGAGTTTTTTAAAACTCTCTAAGTTCTTCCGTGTATACATAATATTTTCATAAATGTATTGTGAAGTAACTGTGAGGATATTTGAGTCTTTAAAGCACTGACGTAATGACTCTCTTTAACCCATACCATAAATAGAACGTATGGCTCTCTTTCGTAAAACAAATATAGTATTTATATCGGCTGCTTTACCCCACAGCAGTATGCCATAAGACATTATGCTATGGAAATAACTAAAATATACAAGTTTAGCCGTCGCCACGTCTGTTAATTGCCTAATTCTTCTAATTGCATATGCAGCAGAAGTCTACTGGCCAATTTTGAAATATGGGGTCATTATATACATAACATACTAATATACATAACATTGTAATTTCGAGTCCACTGTTATACCTAAAAAAACTGTATCATTAACAAAATTTACTATTTCGTCATTAAGCAATAACTGTGTATTTATTAGTCTTACATTAGGAAGTGTAAATTTTATACACTTTGTTTTGCTGGAATTTAATAATAGGTTATTACATGTAAACCAATTTAATATTGCAGACATAGCACAATTTACATCGTCTAATTGATTACTTTGACGTCCAATTTTAAATACTAACGAAGTATCATCCGCAAACAGCACTATATCTGCAATTTTCTCTACCATAAAGGGAAGGTCATTTATGTAGATTAAAAAGAGAAAGGGGCCTAAGATTGACCCTTGTGGAACGCCCATCTTAATATTAGCTCCCTTAGATTTTACACCGTCAATATCTACAGTTTGGACCCTATCCTCTAAATAAGTTCTCATTAATTTTAGATCATTATCTCTTATACCCTAATGTTCGAGCTTGTACAAAAGCGTTTTATGATCCACACAATCAAATGCCTTTGATAGGTCACAAAAAACTGAGTGCATCCTGTGACTTCTCCCAGGATTCGAAAATATGTGTCATTAGCGCAACACCTGCGTCAGTGGTAGACTTACCGGCGGTGAAACCATATTGCTGACTGTGAAGCAGTCCGTTAACCCTGAAGTGTTGTAACATTTGATTTAACATTATCTTTTTAAAGAGAGGTAAATACCTTTATTTGCCAAAAAATTATTCGTGTGAAGACCCGGTTAATCTTTTAAATAATGTATATTTAACATGAAAGTTTAAAAACAACTATTTCGAAATCTTTTTTACAGCATGCAATTTTCATTGGCATTAATGAATTAGTCTCCTCAGGTTTACGTATTCCAGCCAATAAAAAACTTACTTTATAAGCTGTATTTCAGTTAAAAATTGAGACGAGGTAATGAAATTACGCGATAAGAGGTAGGAAACATCTTGGTCCTACCCAATGCTCATGAGCGGTTTCATTGTTACTGTATTCGTGTACTCGTGGTACGTGAAAACAGCAATAGTCATATAGGGACGGTTACTAATTGATATCATGTGTGCCGTCAGCTCTGGTAACTACTCCCCAATACGAACCACTCCACTGTGGAGTGTTAGATGTGCCAGTGACATTAACACCTTGGTCAACATGATTTATGACCGTAGTACTGATTAAAAGAAATAATCATACCTAATCTTTATTCACTCACAATATAAATAGGTAGAATAATAGTTTTTCCTTATAAGTGTGGAGTCTGAATTAGATGAAACCTGTACGACAAGTTTTTAAAATATAGGCTATGTTTGGTAATCACAGGCAGCTTGTCACGTTAGTGGACAGGTATCAAAAGAAATAAAAAAGGTGTATGTGTTATAAAATTTATTACAACATCGTTACAAAATATTACAGGAGGAGAATAGACCTATCGTCTGATTTTAGGGCTAACAGGGTCTTCAGGAACAAGTATGGATGATCATGAAATTACTAACAGTTTAGTGCAGAATAAAATAGAGAAATCTGAAGGGTTTGCCTCGGCGCGCTTCTCTGGCGCAGATTGGTGCTGGAGAATTCTCTAGGCCGAGACGTTGAGAATTAGCCAACATTGAGATAATAAAGCATATTGGCTTTATTATCTCAATGTTGGTGCGTCACGATGTATCTTCAATTAATATGCTCACGAGTAAATGTAATTGCGTCAGAGGGACTTCCAAATAGTGCGCTCGTGTTTTCATATTTCATTCGAGGCAATAGTAATGTGATATAGTGTTAGAGACACGTCTTCTTTTATTTCTCGTCCCATTTCCTTCGAAGGATCTCGCCGAGATCCCTCTCGATCCAATTGCTTTCTCCGAACCTGGACATCATATTCGTCTTAAAGTATTTAAATATGGCGTTTGAATAACAAAGTAACAAATAGGTAGATATAAAACTAAATTTCATTCAACACTTGTCAAGCTTGTTTGCCATTCTACTTGCATAAAAAATTATTTAGAATTAGCAAAGATATCAATACGTTTAATTGACAGGTATAATTGACAGTTGTAGAGAACGTTTGAAAATAATAAAAAAATATAATGTCGATTGAAAAACTGCATTAAAGTCCGGGCGGCGACGGTACGTAATTATGCTAAGCACTTATATATAACGTGGAAAGATTGTGACCGACCAAGTCATTACTGCATGCAGGAAGCAATGCTACGGAAACCTGATTAATTGCTTTAAGATTTGAGCCAGTAATTAAGTAATACAATCGTGCGTTGACAACTTAAATACATTTAATGCACTTTCGATTTTTGTATAAATATTTGACCGACACTGAACAACTCGCGGTCCGATTCTGTTCGCTAAAGCTATTTCAGTCTTCATCATAGAGCGAGCCTTTGGAATCCGGCAGCTTTGAGAATTCCCTTTGAAAACATTAGCTGACAACTAGCGAGATAGCAGCAGTGCCAGATTTATATTTTTTATGAGTGTAGACCACTTTATTTCTGTCGCCCCATCTATAGACCTTTCAAAAATAACAATTTTCCATTTGTAATAAAGAAAGTCTTGAAGTTAAATAAACTGCTCAGGAGCCCTTCAAGAATTATGTAAGCACTATAGCAGTGCCGCCATCCTATGGAGAGACGGCCCGATGACATTTCAGTAGAAAA